CATTCGCTGGCTGGGGAATTCTGGGAGTTGAAGTCCAGACATCTTCAAGTTGACAAGGTTGAGAAACACTCCCTTCCTTGCTTGTAATTCTTCATTGAAAGGGACGAGAAAGGAAAAGGGGTCCTTGTTGTTGCGTCCCCCCCCCAAAAAAGTGGAATGTAAATCGTGACTCAGTTTCCAGGGGGAAGCGGTAGTGAGAAATAGATTGACAACATTCACAGCGTGTGTGATTAAACTCGGATTGATGGATTGTCCAGAGTGGCTGTGGGAGCTGGGCAGCATATAAATTTAATGGATGATGATGATGATGATGATGATGATTAATTGCCCCATTTTGGGATTCTGACCATGTATCCAAATATAAACTAACCAGATGAATTGAATCCACACTATAAAAGCCTTCTCCAGGGTGGACCCAATCAGGCTTCCCATATTATGCAAATGCTTCTGTGATTTTAATTTATTTTTTTATTTCATTTATTTTTATGAAATTTGTGTGTCACACATCTCCCCTACAAGGTGATTCTGCTACATCTTTTATTGACCAAGTGGAGCACTTTAACTGCATTGTTTCCTAAATATACATTGGTATCAAAGGTTTATCTCCTCCCCCTCTTGTATTAAACTTACGTGCTGTCTCAGTCTCTATGAATAATTCCTTGCAAAATTATTCCTTATTTCAAGATTTTATGCCCAAAGTAGCTCATACAATGTCAGGAGGTATTTGTGTGTTCCCCTTTGGTGAAACTTGTCTCTTTTTCTGTCCTAGCTGGCTTTTAAAAAGATTTTTAATTTCAAAACAAAATTGGAAGTTGGCAGATACTACATAAAGCCTGTAATGTGAATGTGATGTAAAGCCTCAGTCTGTAATGCCTTATTTATTTGCAAGGGTGTTTTGGACTCCAGAAAATTCCCAGTAGAATAATGTAGATGATAGCTACGTAGATAACGTAGAGCATTTCATGTGCATTTGGGTAAATTAATATGTCACTTTTACTTCTGCAATTATGTTAAACATGTTTTGATTCATTGATAAATGCATCATTGCCTAAATACTATCAAAATACCATTATGATCTGGTATGAAAATAGATAACTTTTTTTATGTGTTTGTTTAAAATGCATTTTATCTCAAAGAATAAATATGAAAAAAATGTGTTATCCATTTAGTAGGAGAGATCTTTTATATATCTGAATAGCCCAATGCAAATTTGTGAGTTATTTTTGTAGGCCCACCACATTTATTATATAATGGTTTATGGGCTACACTTGGTATAAAGCTAGAGGAACTAGGAATGATTCTGATGAGGCATGTAATAACTTTACCCTCTTTCTTACAGTTTGGAGAAAATGACGGCCATCAAGCATGCCTTACAGAGGGATATTTTCACTCCAAATGATGAGCGTTTACTGAGCATTGTTAACGTCTGCAAAGCGGGGAAAAAAAAGAGAAACTGTTTCTTATGTGCTACAGGTATGTAGATTTTAAATAATAGATACAATTTGTCTTTAGATCATTGGATTGTGATGTATGCTAGGATAACTTAATTTAGGAATAATGTTTTGTTTGTTACCAGCTACACCCCATGTGTGATGTAAAGATGATTGCATACCATGTTCATTGGTGACACTAAATAAAACAAAACAGCTTGAATTTTCTTTTAGAAGAAGCCATTGTACATTGCTGCATGTTACCCAAAAAGGTTTTGCTATAAAGCTTTAAATCTTAAGATCAATGACTGAAAGATATCTAAGGGGAAATTTCCAAAAGCTGGGATATTTGTCTCTATTAATGATAGAAAGCATCTCGTATATAAAAAACTGAATCGAGTAATTCATAGCTGAATTCACAAACATGCAAGAAAATAATGTTTAGAGGCCAATTATATGTTGTGAATCCTCATTCCCAGTTTTACTTGCATGGAGGCAATTTACTGATTATCTGCCACCAACGTATCAACTCTTAGTTTGCTCTCATTCCAGAGAAAACTCTCAACTATTTTGTAGTTAGAGGTTTTACATTATTTCTGCACGTTTTGGGGTTAAAACACTCTGGTGGCTCACATTGGTCATCTAGTTTGTTCTCATTGTTACTTTTGAATGGATGATTATGAAATATTTGTTAACCTGAGGATATTTCGGAGAGCCTCTTGCTTGATTTAATCCTCAGAAGAATTTTTTCTGCCTTGTCCATTATGAATGACTTTGTACACATTCTGGAAGCTTTACTTTTCCTTTCAAGCAACTTGGGGAAAGTACGTGTTTAAATGCTGATTTCCCTCCCCCCAATGTATTTGTGGGGAAATGTGTATTTTCTTAAGAGCGTAATCATTTATTTATTATCCTTAAACAGTGACAACTGAACGCCCAGTGCAGGTGAAGGTGATCAAGGTGAAAAAATCCGATAAAGGTGATTTCTACAAGAGGCAGATTGCGTGGGAGCTTCGGGATCTTACTGTTGTTGACGCCAAGGATGCCATCAAAGTATGTCTAAAATACAACCATCCATCTTCACTGTACAAAGCATAAGTAGACTTTTCACCTGAATATATTGTTATGCTTTCATCATTTCATCATAGAGCCCTGGTGGCACAGTGGTTAGAATGTATATTGGAGGCAAGCTCTGCCCACAGCCAGGAGTTCGATCCTGACCAGCTCAAGGTTGACTCAGCCTTCCATCTTTCCAAGGTTGGGTTGGACTAGATAACCTACAAGGTCCCTTCCAACTCTGTTAATCTATTAAAAGGTTGATAAAATGAGGACCCAGATTCTTGGGGGCAATATGCTTAGAGGGGGCTGTAAAGCACTATGAAGCGGTATGTTGCTATTTGATGATCATTGGAAATCAGGGTTACTGTTGTTTTGCATACTTACCTGGGAATGTGTCCAAGTGAACTTGGTAATATTTACTTATATGGACCAGGCTGCATCCTTAATTTCTAGAGAAATCTATGCGCTAGGTCAGTGATGGTGAACCTATGGCACGCGTGCCACAGGTGGCACACGGAGGCCTCTCTGTCGGCATGCAAGCCATCGCCCCAGCTGTGCTCCACCGAGCATGCTTGCGTGCCTCCCACCAGCCAGCTGATTATCTGGTGTCTGCAGCACGGGTTGTTTAATCAAAATGCAGTTAAAACACAATACAAGGCATCGAGAATATAACTATATACATCCAACAGGAACAGGAAATGCCTCACAGGAACAAATAGAGGTAAATCCTAGAGAGGC